CCCGTCCGCCCGGTCAACGCGGGCGGGAGGCCCCTGTGCCAGCGTCACGGCCAGTCCTGCACAGCGCCTGCAAGACAGGAGCACGGCCGGATGCGGGAGTGCTGTGGGAGAAGCCCGTTCATTTAAAAACCAAGTCCTGCCTCTGTTGTTGCTCCCGCTGCCTCCCCTCTGCCCCCAACCCAGCCGGCTGTCTGTCTGTCTGTCTCCCGAGGAGGGATTCTTGGGGCCGGGCGGTGAGTCCCTCTCTCCTGGACACTAGCACGTGCCCTGGGGGTGGGGCTGGAAAACAGCGACGTGAACCCGTGGGTCCCTAAGAGCTGCCCAGGGGCTGCTGTGGGAAGAGCCTAGCAGTGAAATTGGGGTTTACTAAGCCCACGCCTGCCAGTCACAGGAGGAGCCACCAAAGACCCTGCATGCAGCAGACCTGGCGCCAGTCCGCAGGTGACAGGGACGGGGTGGAGGTAGGGCGTGGGGTGGGGCTGGAAAACAGCGACGTGAACCCGTGGGTCCCTAAGAGCTGCCCAGGGGCTGCTGTGGGAAGAGCCTAGCAGTGAAATTGGGGTTTACTAAGCCCACGCCTGCCAGTCACAGGAGGAGCCACCAAAGACCCTGCATGCAGCAGACCTGGCGCCAGTCCGCAGGTGACAGGGACGGGGTGGAGGTAGGGCGTGTGGAGTACCGCTCCATCCCTGCAAGGAGCCCTCCAAGCACACGGCCTGCCCCGCTCATCCCAAGGTCAGTCTCGAAGGTGGGGCAGACAAGAGGCTGCCAGAGGCGACCCCGCCCGCCCCCCGCCCCGCCGGAACCCTTAGGCAGAGAGCAGCTCACACTTTAAAAAGCCAGTTGCTCTCTGTTCCAGACGGACAGGGAAGGAGAAGGAAGACTTCTCAGGCTGTTTCCCTCCCCCGCCCCACGCGCAAAATCTCTTAGCTGCCATTGGCCAATCTCTTAGTTTCCGGTTAATAGGGGTACGTCTACACTAGCCCCCTAGTTCGAACTAGGGAGGCTAATGTAGGCATTCCAAGTTGCAAATGAAGCCCGGGATTTAAATATCCCAGAATTCATTTGCATGTTCCCGTGCGCCGCCATTTTTAAATGTCCCTTAGTCCGAACTCTGTGCCCGCGGCTACACGCGGCTACACGCGGGGCGGGGGAGGGA